GCAGCAGCATTACACTGAAGGCTCACGGTCATCTTGTGGTCAATCATGACCCCCAAGTCTCTTTCTTCCGTAGCTAGCCAGTCTAGCACTGCCGAACCTATAAGGTTTTTCCTCCCAAGGTGGACAACCTTGCATTTTTTGGTGTTAAACACCATCAGGTTCTTTTCCACCCATTTGCTGAGCCTGTCAAGGTCAGTCTGGATTGCCTCAGGTGTGGATGCTTTACCCCAGAGTTTGGTGTCATTGGCAAACTTGGCCAGTCTGCTTCTGATACCAATGTCCACATCATTAATGAAGATGTTGAACAGTACAGGCCCAAGAACAGAGCCTCAAGGGACCCCACTGGTCACAGGGTACCACAGTGATTGACTTCCATCAACCACCACCCTCTGGGTCTGACCATGGAGCCAGTTCCTCAGCCAGCAGATCATGGTAAGGCCGAGGCTACAGTTAGCCAGTTTTGCCAAGGGGTGATCATGGGATACTAGATCAAAGGGTTTTTTGAATTCAAGATATACAACATTAATCTCTTTTCCCTTGTCCAGGTGATAGGTCACCTGGTTGTAAAAGGAAATAAGATTGGTCAAGCAGGACCTACCCGCAACAGACCCATGCTGGCTATCCTTCAGGATGTTGCCATTGGCCAGTCTGTTAAGAATGGCCTCTTTGATAATCTTTTCTAAGACCTTCCCTGGGATAGAGGTCAGGCTGATGGGCCCATAGTTTGCCAGATCCACTTTCCTCCCTTTCTTGAAGATAGGCACCACATTGGCCTTTTTTCAATCTTCAGGCACTTCACCAGAGTGTGAGGAGTTCTCAAAGACCTGTGCCAGGGGCTAAGCTGTGATGCTAGCCAGCTCCTTGAGTACCCTGGGATGTAACCTGTCAGGGCCTGCTGATTTGAAGGTGTCCAGCCTCTCAAGCTGTTCCTTCACGAGGTCAGCATTGATGGAGGGTAAGGAATCTCCCTCACCCAGGCCTCTCTGTCCTGTAATGGGCAGGGGCATCCCATGGGACTGGTGAAAGACTGACACAAAGTACCCATTTAGCAAATTGGGCTTTTTCCTAGGCGTTGGTTGTCAGTTGTCCCATCAGGTTTAGCAGGGGTCCAATGTTGCCCTTGCTTCTCCTCCAGCTCCCTACATATCTGAAAAAGGACTTTTTATTGTCCTTGATGCTTGTAGCTAGTTGGAGTTCTGTTGCTGCCTTGGCTTTCCTGGTTTGCTCCCTGCGGGTCCGGACCAGTGCAGAGTATTCCTCCTTGGAGGTGGATCCAGTCCTCCATCCTTTGTAGGTCTTTCTTTTTAGATGCAGGAGGCCCGCTAATTCCCTGGAGAGCCAAGGGGGCTCCTGTGCCCTTTTGCTGCCTTTCCTCCGACACGGAATAGACTCTGCTTGCGCATCCAAGGATCGTTCCTTTAAGGAGCAACCACTTGTCCTGAACTCCCCTCCCCTTTGGCTTGTGGCCCTTTAGAGCCTCACTGACAGGCTTCCAGAGCTTGTTAAAGTCAGCTTTCCTGAAGTCGGGGACTGCATAAGTAATTGTAACTTGTTTATATCCTCCCAAATGTTTGATTCTGTTTCCCTCCCTCATTGTCAGCATAGGTTCTCTCTCTTCATACTCTTATTGCTATAGGCTGTTCTAGACAACAGATTCTTATACATGTCTGAAAGGCAGAGTTCTTGTTCTTTCAAGTCTTTAATTTCATTTCCATACTAGGAAGTCTCTCAGCTGCTTTAGCTGGGATGAAATTTTACTTGATCCTTGTTTCAAAATAAAGCTGTACTTTGCTAAAGAATAAGTAGATGGGAGCTGAGTCATAACTCCTGATAGTAGTGTCAGAGAATAAAGCAGCCAGCAGGTAGGAGAGCCTCTAACTTATTCTTTTTATCATGTACGCTTCTTCCCATAATTAAAAATGATGGATGTGTAGAATGAGGGTTCTCCCTCAGGCATCAATGGTGGCAGGTATTTATGCTTCTGCTTTAAATACCAGTCTTTCATAGCTAAGCAGTAGTTCATTAAAAATAATCTTTTCGATCTGAAATAGTTCTCTTACAACAATTTATGTTCCTGCTTTACTCATCTTTAACTTCTCGATCCTCAAATTGCACTTTGAGAAGAAATGAGATCTCTTACTGATACAGACATTAATACTGACTTCCTTAATAACAGTAATTTTTCTTTCATTTTACAGGTTGCCATCAAAGACAAACAAGAGGGAATTGAATAAACATGAAGCTTCAAGCGGACTGTTCTTTGACTTTGGATTTTGTATAGGTTTATTTTCATTATTATGTAGTGTGGCTATTTAGTTGAACATATTTATATGGGGTGATTCAGTGCAAGACTTGGCAAGCTTGCTCTAAGCAGCTTCTCTCCTTCCCCCTTACACTTGCTCTGAGCTGGCAGGCTCCATCTAGGCTAGCCTAGGGCACTAAGCATAGGGGCTGAGCTGGGACCATGCCAAGTACTCCAGGCTAGAACAGGGATGGAGCCTGCTCCTGAAGAACAGTCTAGATGGAGGGGTGACCTGAGGCTGTAAGGAAAAGGGGCAGGCAGAGGGACAGGCACAAGGAAGAGGCAAGCTGCTTAACCTCCCCCACACCACCTGCCTCTCTGCAGAGGTTGGGGGGGGTGTGAATTAAAAATGACTCTGCTAACAGTAGATTCTATACGTGGAAAATTTATAAATTTGAGTGAATATGGTATTTGTTGTCCCAGTACCTAGACTTCTAAAATGAAAGTAATTGAGTCATGGAAGTAAGTATATTTTTGTAGCACTTTCTCTGTCCACCCGCAAAAAGCCACCTCTGCATTGCCAAGTGAACTGGTATTAAGTTTTATTAAGTGTCATTTCTATAAAACAAATACACAAATTGTGGAAATTCTCAGTAAAAGAAACGGGATGTTTATAATGACAGAATATGTACTGCTTGCATGACAATGGCTCTCTAGAAAACGTCATGATTACACTTGTAAACAGTCACTAATACTGCACTATTTCCAACTATGGGAGTGAAAATTGTCATCAAACAGCAAGCTATGTTTTCTTCCAAATAGCTGCTATGTTCACACTAGTTAAAGCAATGAGATAAGTGAAGGTAGGATCTGTTATCACGTTGTTTATTAAGACGTCAGTCAGCACTTCACCGTTTGCTCGAAGTTCTGGCCATTTGAGAATCTAGCAAAAGAAATGGATTAAGTTTGGGTCTGTCTACGAAGGCACAATACTTCAGTAAGAAAAACAAGATGCTACCGGCTAAGAGTGTTAAGCCTGATGTAATAATAATTCAGGGAATCTGTACGTGTTACAGATTTTTGTCCACTTTTTGGAAACTAGTCTCAGTGAATGTCTTGCTGCTAGTAGCTACTGGCTGATTTTCTGGTGTGTATAACTACACCCCTTTGCTTTTGGTGTGTTTAAGACAACTGAGCTCTGTTACTTATCCCATGGAGGAAGATCACTGCTAAAGCTACCAGCTGCGTATCTTTTAAAGTCAGAACTTTGGGCTATAGTGATCATGCTGAGGTGAACCCTTTCATTACAACTGTGCTCCACTTTAAGTACTTCCTTCCTCTTGTGGCTGACTTGGAATCAGAGAGCAGTCTCAGTTGTTTAAAAAGTTCCTGAGCACATTCACATGCACCAGGTGTGATTGCAGCTTGTAAAAGGCAATTCTGCCTTCAACCTGTGCCAGATACTCCATTTGCACAGCACATCCTATTCAGCACTAAAAGGAAAAGACCATGCCATACCTGTGTGGCAGCTATACTCTTGTCTGAGCGCTTTCTTCTTGCAGCAGTGCTCCAGGCCGAGTGGTTGCTGAGGTTGTACATCCACACGCTTCCATTTTCATCACCACAAAACACATACTCCTTTGCTGCAAGAGCAAAGAAAGAAGCTGAGGTCCCAGAGGCTAGATCTGAATTAGTTTAGGCCACAGATGGGCACAATGATGGATCTAGTAGGCAGCCAGACATCTTTTCCCAGCAGCCCCTGCCCATATTGCTGCAGCCAGTTTCCATGGGGACCCTGGGCTGGGGTAGAGCCCAGGACACGTGGGCAGATCACGTTTCTGCCCCAGCTCTGGACCACACTGTCACTGCTGCAAGATCCCAGCCCAGCCATGTGTCCTGCCAGCACTGCTGGGGCTGGTCTTCATGGAAACCCTGGTCCCACTCACCAGGAAATGAAATCTACTGTGGGCCAGACTTAGGTTAAACCAGGGGTGGGCAATCTAGTATGTGTTAGGTTCACTTTTTCCTCTAGCTGCAGGTGGCAGCCCTAGATCAAGATGACCCAGAAGGCTGTTTTAATAGAATATGGCCTGGTGCTCCTAATGGAAAGAGCAACAGCCTTGCCATCCAGTATTGCTTGTTTTCCTACTAAGAACTGAGTGGATTTTTGTGCTAAGGCTATTGTGTTTTAAGAGCAACCTGCTTACCCACCCACAGAACAAGATGGAAACCAGTTTCTCTTGCTGGTTTCAGAGAGGCAGCATCACTTTCATATTGGGTGATTTCAAGAGCAGTTGTTAAAGCCCTTCTCTGAAAAGGCACAGCCTCCAAAGGAAGCAGTTCTGCAAGTCTCTCAAATGCAGCTTGGCTAAATACTCAGGCTTCTCTCAAATTTCATCATTAGCAGGGATCCCGGTTTTCCCCTTCTGCAAACAGCTCTCCCCAGGCTGGCAGAGTTCCAGCCTCCAAGTGCTGCTTGCAAAAAGGGGTGGAAACCCTACGCCTTGTCTTAAGGGGGGGGGGGGGGGGGGGGGGGGAGGG